TAGCTAGCCGCCTCTGTCAGAGAACTCTGGTGCCACAACAAAGTACAGTTCCCAGGATTCCATAGCACTGAGCCAAGGCAGTTAAAGTGGTGTGAAACTGCATTACCGTATTTCTGCAGCGTAGATGTATCCTGAGTCCAACACTCAAAGCACTACACCACACTGCCTCTCTGATCAGATGCTATCATTTGTGTATGTGTGTGTGTGTGTGTGTGTATATATATATATATATAATGATTATGAAGTTGTCCACGCCTCTGTTGTTGCTGTGTGCCTTCAAGTCTTTTCTGACTTATGGTGATCCTAAGGCCATGGACCTATCATGTTTTTTTCTTGGCAAGATCTGTTCAGGGGAGGTTTGCCATGGTCACCCTTCTGAGGCTGAGAGAGTATGACTTGCCCAAGGTCACCCAATGGGTCTACATGGCAGAGCCAGGATTGGCTATTATATCAATAGGTAGTTTTCTGAATACTGCATTTTGGGCTTATGGCGACCCTAAGGCCATGAACCTATCATGTTTTTTTTATTGGCAACGTTTCTTCGGGGGGGAGTTGTACTGGCCATCCTCTGAGGCTGAGAGAGTGTGACTTGCCCAAGATCACCCACTGGGTTTCCATGGCCGAGCTGGGCTCTACAGTCCCTTTCTATCTACTGTCCCTGTTATCTGCCTAATAACCTAAACAGAGAAATCTCAGAATTTCTCCTTAAAAACCCGCCTTCGTACCTGAACGAATAAATTACACCAGACGCTCCGCCTCTCACCCGGATGATGCTACTGCTGCTGAGGCGGGCTTCGGACTGGCCCTTTAAGCATTGACGAACATCGCCTAGAGCCAATCGTCGTCGATTACGCGAACGTTTCTCCCGCCCCCACCCACCGCCCTTTTCGACTCTCAGCGTACCTGCCGAGCCGGAGTTCGCTCGCGCGCGCGCGCGCGTTGTACTTTGTAACGGCCGGGCGCGCGGGCGTGTGCGCGCATGCGTATGTTCAGGCACGAGCCGGGTGGCGGTTTCCTTACTCCCTCAGGCTCTCTCTCTGTGGCGGTTGTTTTGGCTTGGTTTGTTTGGCTGATAAAACGAGGTGTCTAGAGTCAGCCTCGTTACCTGAGTCTTCTGAAGGGAAGGAGGGAAGTGGGCTTGTCTGTATGTGTGTGTTTTATTTGCCTCTATCTTCGTTTTTTCTTAGCAGCAGCAGGAGCCTTGAAACAAATTTAACTGTTTGGATTCTGCTTTTTAGGCAGCATAGTCTTGACTTCTTCTTGTCTTGTGTAATCTGCAGAAATAAAGCCAGGGTGACCAGACTTGTCCTCCTTTTCCTAGACATGGTCCTCCATTTCAGCCTTCTGTCCAGGAGGAATTCCCAAAATGTCCTCCTCCATTTGGAGCACGACTAAAAAGCATGAATTTATAGTTATTTTTAGCTTTTATTTTGGAATGGCCTTCATTTTCCTGGAGTGGCTTACATTTTGGGGTGCCTTGTCCTCCTTTGCAGTTAGGACATATAGTCACCCTGAACCCAGGGTCACCAGAGGTCCTCCATTCCAACCTTCACTTCAGGAAGAATTCCAGAAATGTTCTCTCTCTCTCTCTCTCTCTCTCTGAATACTTTTTAGCTTTTATTTGGACATGTCCTACCTTTTTCTTGTATGTCATCCATTTTGAGCACAACTAAGAAGCATGCATTTATATTTCTATGAATACTTCTTAAGGTTTTCTTTGGTCAGGTCCTATGTTTTTTCCAAATGCCCTCCCATTTGAGCATGTCTAAGAAGCATGAATTCACATGCTGAATGTTTGAGTGTTTTTAGCTTATTTGGTCACATCCGCCATTTTTCTGGAATGTCCTCCAATTTGCAATGCCTTGCTCTCCTTTGAAGTTAGGACATCTGGCCACCCTGAACCCAGGGTGACCAGAGGCCCTCCTTTTCCAAGACATGTCATCCATTTCAACCTTCTGTCCAGGAGGAATTCCAAAATGTCCCTCATTCTGAGCATGACTGAGAAGCATGAATATTTATTGTATTGTCCTAATTTTTTGTTGAATGTCCTACACTTTGTGGTGCTTTATCCTCCTTTGTAGTTAGGACATCTGGTCACCCTGAACCAAACAGCACACCTCTGGCAGGCAGCAAAACTTTGCTATCTGTAAAAGTACAGTAATTGTCCTTCACCTCCTTCTGAAAGCAAATCTTTGTCAGGATACTTGAAAATTATGGCCATTCTCCTTTGGTGCTGAAACCTTGGTCTTACTTGCTTTCTTCAAGAAGACCATCTCAGGTGCTGCATTTTGATTTTCTTTCACATTGCAATATTATTTCCCTTGTCTATTCATTATCTACTTTGCCTTCTTCAGCTTTAATTGTTGACTATCTCTAAGTTTGGTAAGAACATTGGTCAAATATTAGTGTTTGTATGGGATATAAATCATTAATTAGATGTAGAATTCAGCCATGAACTTATTTATTTTTTTCTGTTTTAATCAGTGCAATGGCAGAGGCAAGAGGCCCCACTCACCTTCTCGATGTCTGTAATCAAAAGTTCTCAGAATTCCTCTACAGTGCTGAATATAAATGCTTGATGTGGTTGCGGGAGATTGAGGAGGAAGCCCTGAAGATGTTTGAAAGGTAGAGCTTGTCTTTAAAAAGGATGATCTCTGAATTCTTATAATGTGTTTTTTCAATTGCTGTCAAGTCAGCTTTGATTTGGGGCAGCCCTGTGAATGAAAGGCTAAGACATTTTGTCCTCAACAACCCTGCTCAGTTCTTGAAAACTCAGGACTGTGACTTCCTTGGCCGAGTCTGTCTACCTGTCTTACTCCTTCTTCCTGCTTTCCCATTTATCTACGATTATTTTTTCCCCCCAGTGAGTCATATCATCTCATAGTATGTCCAAAACAACAATAGTCTCAATTAAGGCATTTGCCTTATAATAATAATAATAATAATAATTAATAATATTTATTTCTTATCCACCTCTCCTTGCGGCTCACGGCAGATTAAAGCATAGTTACAAAACACAATTTTTACAAAAAATACACATATTAAAAATGCATTTCTAAACAATATATTAAAATACATAAAACAATGATTAAATATACAATTCATGTTTAAAATTTATTATTAAAACTGCCTGGGTAGGCCTGCCAGAAGAGAGAAGTCTTCAGATGTGTTTTATATTCCGACAGCTGGTCTAGCTGCTGTCCTCAAGCACCACCATTTGGAACCTGCATGAGAGGTATGACCACAATGCAGTATGACCACAATGCAACACCGTGCCCCCAATTCCCAAACCCCCCAGGCGCTCCAGAAGGATGGTCAATGGTATCAAAAGCCACTGAGAGGTCTAGAAGCACCAACAGACACACTCCTCCTGTTGGTGTTGAGACGAAGATCATCCATTAAGGTGACCATAGCAGTCTCCATATCCTTCCCTAAAGCCAGTTTGAAATGGATCAAGGAAGTGTGTGTCATCCAAGACTGACTGGAGTTGGAGGGCAACTGCCTTCTCAATCACCTTGCCCAAAAAAGGAAGATTAGAGACTAATCTATAGTTATTAAGATCTAAGGGATCCAGGGAGGGCTTTTTCAGCAGTGGTCTAAGTACTTCTTTTAAACAGGTTGGAAAACTTCCCTCCCTGAGAGATGTGTTAATAATTTGTTGCATTTGAGGTCTAATTGCATCTCCCTGCATGACCAGCCAAGAGGGACAGGGATCAAGAAAGCAGGTTGTCCTCCTTACTTGCCCCAGCAGCTTGT